AAGGAGACCATTCTGGATCCAATGATGGTGGCACTAGCAACCTGGCCACCATCCTTGGACCCGTCGGTAAAAATGGACCTGTGAGAATGATATTTGGAGTGTAATTGGTTATAAGGATTAGTTTCTGACGTTTTAAGCTGGGTTAGTGTGAGGTCTACGTCTGGCTTCACCATTTGCCAGGGAGGAGAAGACAGAAGTCGGGAAGGTGATATTATATTTAGATCTATTTTAGCTGCAGTGATGTGTGGTAAAATTCGGATTCCAAGTTGGGGAATCACAGGTTTTCATACTGAGGGTGGAAAACGCAATTGTATGCTGGATTTGATTTATTTGAATACAATTTTGTAATGTATTGCAGTGAAAGGTTAATGCGACGCTGTTCGAGTGAAGGTTCATCAGCCTCCACATACAAACTGTCCACAGGAGAGGTCCTAAAAGCTCCAAGACAGAGCCTTAGGCCTTGATGGTGTATAGTGTTCCTTTTTTCTAAATTGCTTTTGCATAGTCCAGTTTGGAGCCTATTAGCGATCTGTACAAGTGAAGGAGGATTGTCTGATCCCCTCTCCACTCGGAATTTGAAACGATTTTCAACAAGTCGAGAGCCTTCAGGCACTTTGCCTTTAGATATTTGATGTATGGTAAGAATGTGAGATGACGGTCAAATGTGAGGCCCAGCAATTTGGCCGCTTCTACCACCTTGATAGGAGTACCATCAAAAAATAATTCTGGATCCTTATGCGGTTTGTATTAACGACAACAGTGAATACAGTTTCGTTTGGATTTGGAAAAATTGAAGCCGTTTTCGTTCGCCCATTTTTGAATTTTCTTAAGACAGAGCTGTAGCTGTCTTTCTATTGTATTCATATTCTTACCTCAAGACATGTTGAAATCGTCCTCAAAAAGTGAACCATCAACGCTATTGTTTAATACTTATTGTGGTAACACTATGTTCAAAGTAACACAGACAGCAACAGCTTGTAGAGTAGTGTTGAGTGGAACAGACCTATGTAATACGCCCTGCTTCACCAGAATAGAAGAACATCCTGTAGCTTTATCACCAGGAGGGGAAAACGAGTGGTAAGAACTGTACTGACGGATATCAAATAGATATGTGTGTTTTTTATATGTCTCTTGGTGACAAAAAGCTGACGGTTTAAAATCTTGGATGAAAAGTCTTAAATACTTCTTAAGACCTCTGCAATTCCATTGTCTAATGTGTTGTGGATTCATGGTGGCGGTTGCACAGGTAAGTGAGTGAGTGAGTTGGGTTTTACGCCGCTTTTAACAGTATTCCAGTTATATCACGGAGTGTCAGCTTAATGTGGGAGGAAAGCCCAAAGCGATTCAGTTCTCGGACGTTTACAACTTCGGTGAAACCCACGAGCACGGGTATGGTGCTGACAAACCTAGAAATATAATCGGGGCGAACCGTGATTCAAACCAACAATCGTAGGTTTCTGGCGTGCCCAAGGGACGCAACTCCGCACAGCGAATCGCGGCGCCTTAGACAACTGGTCCACCCGTGCCCCCTACACAGGTGAAATGTCACGGGAACTTGAGGAAGATTTTCTAGTACCCCTATCGGTTTCATGTGGAGATGGAGTTACACATTCCATGGACATCTCTGGAGGGTAAATAACACATACAATGTACATCTCTGGAGGGTAAATAACACTTACCATGTACATCTACGGAGGGTAAATAACACATACCATGTACATCTACGGAGGGAAATAACACATACCATGTACATCTATGGAGGGTAAATAACACATACCATGTACATCTACGGAGGGTAAATAATACTTACCATGTACATCTACGGAGGGAAATAACACATACCATGTACATCTACGGAGGGTAAATAACACATACCATGTACATGTATGGAGGGTAAATAACACATACCATGTACATCTATGGAGGGTAAATAACACATACCATGTACATCTATGGAGGGTAAATAACACATACCATGTACATCTATGGGGTGAGTGAGTGAGTGAGTAACTATTTAACGTCACATGTACATCTATGGAGGGTACAGAACACATACCATGTACATCTATGGAGGGTAAATAACACATACCATGTACATGTATGGAGGGTAAATAACACATACCATGTACATCTATGGAGGGTAAATAACACTTACCATGTACATCTACGGAGGGTAAATAACACTTACCATGTACATGTATGGAGGGTAAATAACACATACCATGTACATCTATGGAGGGTAAATAACACATACCATGTACATCTATGGAGGGTAAATAACACATACCATGTACATCTATGGGGTGAGTGAGTGAGTGAGTAACTATTTAACGTCACATGTACATCTATGGAGGGTACAGAACACATACCATGTACATCTATGGAGGGTAAATAACACATACCATGTACATGTATGGAGGGTAAATAACACATACCATGTACATCTATGGAGGGTAAATAACACTTACCATGTACATCTACGGAGGGTAAATAACACTTACCATGTACATGTATGGAGGGTAAATAACACATACCATGTACATCTATGGAGGGTAAATAACACATACCATGTACATCTATGGAGGGTAAATAACACATACCATGTACATCTATGGGGTGAGTGAGTGAGTGAGTAACTATTTAACGTCACATGTACATCTATGGAGGGTAAAGAACACATACCATGTACATCTATGGAGGGTAAATAACACATACCATGTACATGTATGGAGGGTAAATAACACATACCATGTACATCTATGGAGGGTAAATAACACTTACCATGTACATCTACGGAGGGTAAATAACACTTACCATGTACATGTATGGAGGGTAAATAACACATACCATGTACATCTATTGAGGGTAAATAACACTTACCATGTACATCTATGGAGGGTAAATAACACATACCATGTACATCTATGGAGGGTAAATAACACTTACCATGTACATCTACGGAGGGTAAATAACACTTACCATGTACATGTATGGAGGGTAAATAACACATACCATGTACATCTATTGAGGGTAAATAACACATACCATGTACATCTATGGAGGGTAAATAACACTTACCATGTACATCTACGGAGGGTAAATAACACATACCATGTACATCTATGGAGGGTAAATAACACATACCATGTACATCTATGGAGGGGTAAATAACACATACCATGTACATCTATGGGGTGAGTGAGTGAGTGAGTAACTATTTAACGTCACATGTACATCTATGGAGGGTACAGAACACATACCATGTACATCTATGGAGGGTAAATAACACATACCATGTACATGTATGGAGGGTAAATAACACATACCATGTACATCTATGGAGGGTACAGAACACATACCATGTACATCTATGGAGGGTAAATAACACATACCATGTACATCTATGGAGGGTACAGAACACATACCATGTACATCTATAGAGGGTAAATAACACTTACCATGTACATCTACGGAGGGTACAGAACACATACCATGTACATCTATGGAGGGTACAGAACACATACCATGTACATCTATGGAGGGTAAATAACACATACCATGTACATGTATGGAGGGTAAATAACACATACCATGTACATCTATAGAGGGTAAATAACACTTACCATGTACATCTACGGAGGGTAAATAACACTTACCATGTACATGTATGGAGGGTAAATAACACATACCATGTACATCTATTGAGGGTAAATAACACTTACCATGTACATCTATGGAGGGTAAATAACACATACCATGTACATCTATTTGGTGAGTGAGTGAGTGAGTAACTATTTAACGTCACATGTACATCTATGGAGGGTACAGAACACATACCATGTACATCTATTTGGTGAGTGAGTGAGTGAGTAACTAGTTAACGTCACATGTACATCTATGGAGGGTAAATAACACATACCATGTACATCTATGGGGTGAGTGAGTGAGTGAGTAACTATTTAACGTCACATGTACATCTATGGAGGGTACAGAACACATACCATGTACATCTATGGAGGGTAAATAACACATACCATGTACATGTATGGAGGGTAATTAAAACATACCATGTTCATCTCTGGAGGGTAAATAACGCATACCATGTACATGTATGGAGGGTAAATAACACTTACCATGTACATGTATGGAGGGTAATGAAAACATACCCTGTACATGTATGAAGGGACGTCCTGATTGGTGCGGCCACACAGTTATCATCACCTCCCTTATGTGAACATTTGATTTCTATCCTCTCACAACTGTCGTATAACGGTCTTTTTCAAAATATTTATTGTAAAAACTTCATTATCAGATTTACTTATGTCGTATACAGTCCTCTTATTTGATAAAAAAAAACCAGTAAGATAACTTGACGATCAACTGGATGTAACATTCCCTATATCAGCTAACGGCCCTGTTTGTGAACATATGCACTAGACATAAGATTTAAAGACTAATAAATTCAATTTAAAGACCATACAGACAATAAATAAAATAACATATGTCTTAGCACAGTCTATTGTGTTTTAGATGATAGTTATGATCTGAAATGTTATAACGTTAGGGGGCGGTCGGGTAAATTAGTGGATAAAGCGTTCGCTCGTCACGCCGAAATCCAGGTTCGATTCCCAAAATGGGTACAATGTGTGAAACCCATTTCTGGTGTCCCCCGCCGTAATATTGCTGGAATATTGCTAAAAGCGGCGTAAAACCGTACTGAGTGGGCTATCTGGGTGGGCCAGCACTATAAATCGGCATCAGCAGCCACACACACACACACACACGTGCATGCACGTCGCTATTTAAGTGCAATAATCTTGGACGCGACGTTAAACGCAATTTCAGCTCACCTCACCTCTAATTTATGGCAAGCATGGAATCTTTACTTGACCACACCAATGGCCCTTTCTCTATGAACGTCTATGACGTCATCACCGTACCCCTATTTTGGGTAATTGTAACTTGATTAACCAAATTATTAAACAATAAAAAAAACTTACCAGCAGCACCACACGCTGTTCAGTGGAGTCCGCGTGTCAAAACCATCTACGACTGCAGGGATGGACTGTACGCATTGATCCTTTAGTGAACAATGCTCTTTCAGTTAAGAATTTCTAAGAAATATATTCTATGAGCAATTTGACATGGCTTTCGACCACTACACGCATAATGAATAGCGGCAGTGTGTCTGTGTGGAACAGCTGGTTAACCAGGCTGAGGTTGCATCGATTGTTATATTTATCAAATTTAAAACTTTTAAAAACATCTGGCTTGGGATTTTTTTTAATAGAAAAAGTTTTATTTGAATCACGAAAATACAAGTTGGGGACAAGTGATACTTATCAAATAAGTACAAATATTGGAATGTTTTTTTGTTTCCAGGCAAGTATGGCGATGCGAAACATATTGTTACCGGCTGTACAAAGACAACTATGGTGTTTGGAAAAGTTGTATTGTTAGCAGCTGTTCTAAGACAGTTCTGATATGTGGACATATTGTTTTGTTGTCGGTTGTACAAAGCCATTTCTGCTGACTGGACACATATTGTATTGTTACCTTTTGTGCCATCACGTTAGTTGTTGTATTGCTACCGGTTGTACTAGGAAAATTGTGCTGACAAGGACAAGTGTGTACCCTCCGTCGGAATCTTGATTTGTTGATTACAAATGTAAGCGAGGTGGGTTTTATCAATATTCCAGTAATATCACAGCAGAGGACACCCGAAAAGGGCTTCACACATTGTACCCATGTTGAGAATTGAACCGGGTCTTGGTCGTGAAGATTGTACAATAACAATTCTGATGACTGGACAAATATTGGCACCCGTTGTACAAAAACATTTCTGCTGATTGGAGTACCATGACAAGTTGGCTGCGTTGAATGTCCTGTTCTCACATTTTGCCAATTATATGTAACCATGGCCGTCATGCTACGAAGTTACGTTTGAAGTCACATCACCAATTGTTCCAAAACTGTTTCTATAGTTTAGGCAAATCAGCTTGTTCTATTTGGATATCACGGCGCATCTCGAACTGCCATGGATGAGTATGTTCTAAACGACATACTATTTATTATTACCCATCTGTACTAAAATATGCAGTGTAATATCTTTTTGATATCTGCACTATATGGAATACGTGATTCTCGAAGCTGATTGGTCAGCTAAACAAAGACACATTTTCATTGGACAACGGGACTTTTTTTTTCTCATTCAAGTCATTCACAAATCCGCGGCATTCATTCACATGTTTTACGTGCTAAAATCTCTGATTCGAGATGTTTTAAACAAAAAAACATAGTTTCATATCTACAACATGATTTCATATTATAATCAACGAAGTATTTATTTCACGTGATTTGAATTTTACAATAAAATCAAAAACTACGTCTGCGTTGTTTGTAATTTTTTAAAACAAACATGGGTGAACATTTGACACCTGTCAAAGTAAATGACCTCGTTAAAGTGGACGGAGATCTGTCTCACAGAAGTTATTCGTATAATTTAACCTCTGATCACATTTAATGTCTTTGTCGTTGAAGCAGCATTATGACCAGATTGAAGTTCCAGGATTCAGATTGCGAGTTCTGCCAAGTCCGGGTTTGCCAGCATCTGTGCAAGAGAACTTGCATTGCTGTTTGACGAATTTTTCGACCACCCTAATCCAAAAACCGGACAGTACAGACAGGTTGCCTTTGTGATCGTTAACGACATCGACAAGATCTTAACTGCTAATGAAAACACAATGAAAAAGACTAGACTCAAATTGACATGAATTTTGTTCGCAAATTTATACAGGAAAACTTGATGACACAAGAAAGGTGGAACTAAAATTATTCTTTGCATTTTTTTTTTCATTTTATCACGAAAATCAGATGGTTCAGAATTCGAACCGTCTACTTTGAAAGGAATCAATTAAGGATAGCATGGAGCATTTTCTTAGTCACATGATTACCAACATCTGCTCGCGAAATCGACGCACTTTGCTGAACTCAGGGAGGTTGTGTAATCAAAAGGAAAATCATTAAAAAAAAGTGGACAAGGAAACTTACTCAAGCGAGCTGATCCTGTTTCCGATAATGAACGTAATGAACTCCGTGAATGCGGACAGCTTGGCCGGGACTCCAGACGCTGTGTTAGTCCATTAACAGCTTTAAGTCCACAAGCCTAAGGGATCCTATCAAAATATCAACAAACTCCTGTCATCGACAAGGCTATGACCACTCCACAAGCTTGTTTGACAAGTCCTCCTAAATTCCCAGATGTCCCATCAGTCACACGTGTGTCAAATCACACACGATGTTCACACAACTTGTATTAGGCTGTAACGCCGGTTCTGGTGCCGCTCCATCTTCCCGAGGCATTGGAGTTAACTGACTATAAAAGTCCAGTTTCCACCCTTGCCGAACTAGGCTGGAATTATGGAGTTACATTTTGGCTGGACTAACGAGTCTGTGCATAGTCCAATCAAAATCGCGCACCGAAATCGAAATCCGGTTCGTAAACTTTCGTGAAGATTTCGGTCGATTGCAGGATTTGCAAAGCCTGTGCACCGTCAACTCGTTGTCAGCAGATATTTTCCAAATTTTATCATTTTTTTAATCAAGGTGCTCACATGATTTGATGCATTTCGCGATGTAAGACCCGTTTTATCACAAAATGGATCTTGATTATCGATCAGATCGTCCTGACTGGGCGCCACCATTTTCTGTGAAGCAGACGCAAGTGATACGAGAGGCGGAATCTGATTGGTCCATAGGAGAGGCTTAGAAGGAACATAACTGGCAACAGCCACTGGTGGCGCTGCGATCGAGCCCAATAGTTCCAGCCTTGTTTGGCAAGGGTGAACTGGACTTTTAAAGTCAGTTAACTCTTTTGCCCCGGGAAGATGATGCCGCTCCTGGTTTCGGCTGTTTCATATCTCTTTATTTCTCTTCTCAATGTAAAATGCATGTCTATGCTGATGCACAATGGCGGCTGTCTGTCAATGACGAGATCTTGTCAAAACAAGCTCAGATTAAAAAGCCTGTTGAACCTTTTTTTTTAAAACGTGTCTTCTTCTATCAATGTTAGATAGTGTACGCTGTGAAATGAATTAATGTGATCTTTATCAGAACTTTTTAACAGAACTTCTAATTTCACGCGGAACAACACGTTGCATGAGTTATGCGGTTGAAGTGAGTGGACAGTTTTTTTTTTACACGAGGATTGATACAAAACAGCTTATTCTTGATCAGCAACAGTTGTTTTTCTGGGGTATGATATTGGGTAATGAATATAATTACCCACTCGGTACGAGTGATTACGGAAAATACACTCTTCAAAAAAGGAAACGCACAGACAGAATTTTAGTAAATTGATTGTACCTAATAAAGTCGATATATTAAATTTAATATCATAGATAAAAATATGAAATTCTGGAGCTCGATAGTCACATGTGTTTGTTGTACGAAGGCATTAGAAACTGTTCATGTCACATAAGGCCACAAGGTTGTGCTGAACTCTGTATCTCGTGTGACCGCCCCAGGCAGCAATCACGGCTCTGCATCACCTCGGCACTGACTGGAAAAGTGTACGAAATCTGTCCTGCGGAATTCTGCGCCATTCTGCACGTCAGTTGTGGGAGTGTCTGCGCTGGTTCTGACGTTGACGTACACGTCGATCAAGTTCTTCCCAGAGGTGTTCGATTGGGTTGAGACCTGGAGATCTTGACAGCCAGGTCAAGTCGTTGATGTTGGCAAGGTAGCCTACCGTGACACGAGCTGTGTGCGATGGAGCGTTGTCGTGTTGAAACAGCTCCCCCTGGCGGTCAATGAATGGAAGGAGGTGAGGTTGAAGAATTTGATTCATGTGGCGTTTTGGTGTCAAATTTCCCTGAACCACAACCAAGTCAGATCTCGATGTGTAGGATATGCCACCACCCCACCTACCCCTCCACACACACACACACACACACACACACACACACACACACACACACACACACACACACACACACACACACACACACACACACACACACACCTTGACATTACCGCCATCGAATTTCACGTACACTATGTGGGACAAAACGCTCATTTCGACGACGAGAAACACGTTGTCTTCCATCTCGCCGATGAAGAAGAAATCGTGATTCATCGATAAACCACACTCGTCACCAATTTCTCAAATTCAAAGGCTGTAAGGTATGGCACCAACGCAAGGGTGGCTATCGATGAATCTATAGCAAAACAGGGACGATAGCTGGTCTTCTGGGTCGGATTCCAGCCTCGCAAAAAGATGATTCCTGACATTCTGGTCTGCAGGGGAATTGAACTGTGTGTGTCGGTCCCAAAGGCGGCAAATGTCGCTTTGGTGGACGTTGAAATGGTGTGCAACAGAAAACTGCGAATTCCCTCTTTGGATACGTCCTATGACGATGTTCGATCGGCAGCGCTGAGTCTCGGCATTTTCGAACTTTAAAAATGTTGACAATTGAATGACAAATGATTGGCTTGTGCTTGCCTTTTTATAGGCACTACCACTGCATTTTGGCTTTAGTGTTTTCCTCCATGACATTCTTGAACAAGTGTGAAAAGAATGCCGTTTAAGACATTGCAAATCGACAATGGCTGCGTTTTGACTCACCGTTTGTCGAATATCAGGGCACCAACATTTTCCAATAACATATATCTAATTTATTTACAAGATTTTTTGTGTAGTCAGGTTCAATGAACTCCATACTACCTGTGCGTTTCTTTTTTTGAAGAGTGTACTCGAGTTATTAGCTTAACTTTGGTTGTATTTCGTGTTCTGGAAGCTTGTACAGGGTAAAACACATTTATTTAAATGATTCTTATACAAAATGTTGACAAATGTTCCTGAGGTTGTCAATAAAATTATCATTCCTATTACTAGCACCAAGTTCACTATGTATCTGGTCAATATCAAGAGTGATGTTCACACAACAAACAAAGCATCTGACGTGTCAAATGATTTATCATCTAAAAATGTTCAATGTGTCATTTATAAGCTTTACAAACATCCTTAGTTAAATAACTTTAATAAAATTATGCTTATGACACACACGTTGGCAACCAAGGCAACAAGAATGACAGATGACGATCATATTTGTGTAATTTGTGAGTTGAAGAGCTAAATTGCGAAAGGGATACCGCATGCATATGAAGGCCGATACCTATTCCTCAAACAGAGAGAGAGATAAATAGAGAGAGAAAGGAGAGAGAGAGAGAGAGAGAGAGAGAGAGAGGGGGGGGGGGGGGGGGGGGGGGGGGAGACAGAGAGAGAGTTCTACCGACTGTGCAGGTCATGCTTTTTGCGAAACACCAGGTGTCATCACTGATTTCAAGTGATCCGTTCACATCATTGTCACCGCGAGTTTGCCTTTTACGTGCCCCTTAGATAGATCAGTACTTGAAAATGTGCTTTTGATTTGCATTTTTTTAATTACTCATCTCGGGCGTTGGGGATAGAAAATAATAATCAGTTATTAGAGTATGCTTTGTTGTTGCTCATGCTTCCGTCGTCACCAGGACGAGTAACGATAAACTATGTTTCCCTCCGATGATCACCTCCCTGGTCTAGTGGAGAGAGCGTCTTCTAGGAGAGCGACATACCAAACGTTAAACTATGTTCCTCTCCGATGGTCACCTCCCTGGTCTTGTGGAGAGAGCGTCTTCTAGGAGAGCGACATACCAAACGTTAAACTATGTTCCTCTCCGATGGTCACCTCCCTGGTCTTGTGGAGAGAGCGTCTTCTAGGAGAGCGACATACCAAACGTTAAACTATGTTCCTCTCCGATGGTCACCTCCCTGGTCTTGTTGAGAGAGCGTCCTCTAGGAGAGCGGAAGGTCGATGGACTCCCTGGCCGCGACATACCAAACGTTAGAAGATGGTACTTGGTGTTACCCTGCCTGGCGCTCGGCATAAAAGAGTTAAAACAACGACTGGTCGGCTCGGAGTCAGTATACTGTGTCTGAGTGGGGTATTCATGATAAACTGCGGCATGGTATCTGGGTGGGCTAGCACTATAAAATTGTAAACATACAACCAGACACACACGCGCACACACACACGCGCACACACACGCGCATGCACACACGTACACACAGAGAAGCACACAAACACGTACACACACGCACACCCACCACACAAGGAACACACACACACACACACACACACACACACACACACACACACACACACACACACACACACACACACACATACATCACACCATAGCAAGGTCTCTCAGAGCATTTCAACCGGAAGCAATATTATATATATATATGACAACCATTGTCATCCACAATTACGTTTTTCTTTGTTTAACGCTGCACTCAGCAATATTCCAACTATATGACATCTGACTGTAAATAATAGAGTTTGGGCCAGACAATCCAGTGATTGACCTCATGAATATCGATCTACGCAATTCGGACACGACGACATGCATCAATCACGCCAGCGAGCCTGACCACCCGATCCTGTTATGTTAAGTTCGGACCAATTCTAACCCGGACATTCACGAGTTGGACGTGTTGTAACATCAATGGCATAAATTGCAGTGAAATGATGTAATATTTCTCCTCATTGCCGCCCGAGGTATAATGTAGGTAGCGGAAATTGAGCGGAGTGAACCGGAATGGATCTGGCCTCTTTTACTGCAGCATTACGTGTTGTAGACCAAAACTGTTAAAGAGCGATAACTCTTGCAGCCTTACTAGTTCAATTGACCACGCTTACATTCGAGCGTTGCGCGCCTCTCTTTGTTTTCTGTATCTTACATGAGTTTGTTGGTGTGTTCAACATAGAAGAAAGTCAACACGGGGGTAAAGCCTACCTGGGTGAAGACCAACACGGGGAAAGCCAACATGGAGGAAAACCAACATGGGGGAAAGCCAACATGGAGGAAAGCCAACATGGAGGAAAAGCAACACGGAGGAAACCCACATGGAGGAAAACCAACATTGAGGGAGACCAACACGGGGAAAAGCCAACATGGAGGAAGACCAACATGGGGAAGGCCAACATGGAGGAAGACCAACACGGGGGAAAGCCAACATGGAGGAAGATCAACATGGGGAAGGCCAACATGGAGGAAGACCAACATGGAGGAAACCCAAATGGAGGAAGACCAACATTAAGGGAGACCAACACGGGGGAAAGCCAACATGGAGGAAGATCAACATGGGGGAAAGCCAACATGGAGGAAGACCAACATTGAGGGAGACCAACACGGGGGAAAGCCAACATGGAGGAAGACCAACATGGGGAAAGCCAACATGGAGGAAGACCAACATGGGGGAAAGCCAACATGGAGGAAGACCAACATGGGGGAAAGCCAACATGGGGGAAGACCAACACGGGGGAAAGCCAACATGGAGGAAGACCAACATGGGGGAAAGCCAACATGGAGGAAGACCAACATGGGGAAAGCCAACATGGAGGAAGACCAACATGGGGGAAAGCCAACATGGAGGAAGACCAACATGGGGGAAAGCCAACATGGGGGAAGACCAACACGGGGGAAAGCCAACATGGAGGAAGACCAACATGGGGGAAAGCCAACATGGAGGAAGACCAACACGGGGGAAAGCCAACATGGAGGAAGACCACCATGGGGAAGGCCAACATGGAGGAAGACCAACACGGGGGAAAGCCAACATGGAGGAAGACCAACATGGGGGAAAGCCAACATGGAGGAAGACCAACATGGGGGAAAGCCAACATGGAGGAAGACCAACATGGGGGAAAGCCAACATGGAGGAAGACCACCACAGGTAAAAGCCATCATGGAGGAAGGCCGACACGGGGGGAAAGCCAACATGTATGAAGACCAACACGGGGGACAGCCAACATGGAGGAAGACCAACATGGGGGAAAGCCAACATGGAGGAAGACCACCACAGGTAAAAGCCATCATGGAGGAAGGCCGACACGGGGGTAAAGCCAACATGAATGAAGACCAACACGGGGGACAGCCAGCATGGAGGAAGACCAACATGGGGGAAAGCCAACATGGAGGAAGACCAACACGGGGGAAAGCCAACATGGAGGAAGACCAACAAGGGGGAAAGCCAACATGGAGGAAGACCAACAAGGGGGACAGCCAACATGGAGGAAGACCAACACGGGGGACAGCCAACATGGAGGAAGACCACCACAGGTAAAAGCCATCATGGAGGAAGGCCGACACGGGGGGAAAGCCAACATGAATGAAGACCAACATGGGGGACAGCCAGCATGGAGGAAGACCAACATAGGGGACAGCCAGAAGGGAGGAAGACCAACAAGGGGGAAAGCCAACATGGAGGAAGACCAACATGGGGGACAGCAAACATGGAGGAAGACCAACATGGGGGAAAGCCAACATGGAGGAAGACCAACATTGAGGGAGACCAACATGGGGGAAAGCCAACATGGAGGAAGACCAACATGGGGGAAAGCCAACATGGAGGAAGACCAACATTGAGGGAGACCAACATGGAGGAAGACCAACACGGGGAAAAGCCAGCATGGAGGAAGACCAACATGGGGGAAAGCCAACATGGGGGAAGACCAACACGGGGAAAAGCCAACATGGAGGAAGACCAACATGGGGGAAAGCCAACATGGAGGAAGACCAACATGGAGGAAGACCAACACGGGGGACATCCAACATGGAGGAAGACCAACATGGGGGAAAGTCAACATGGAGGAAGACCAACATGGAGGAAGACCAACACGGGGGACATCCAACATGGAGGAAGACCAACACGGGGGAAATCCAACATGGAGGAAGACCAACACGGGGGAAAGCCAACATGGAGGAAGACCAACATTGAGGGAGACCAACACGGGGGAAAGCCAACATGGAGGAAGACCAACATGGGGAAAGCCAACATGGAGGAAGACCAACATGGGGAAAGCCAACATGGGGGAAGACCAACACGGGGAAAAGCCAACATGGAGGAAGACCAACATGGGGGAAAGCCAACATGGAGGAAGACCAACATTGAGGGAGACCAACACGGGGGAAAGCCAACATGGAGGAAGACCAACATGGGGAAAGCCAACATGGAGGAAGACCAACATGGGGGAAAGCCAACATGGGGGAAGACCAACACGGGGGAAAGCCAACATGGAGGAAGACCAACATGGGGGAAAGCCAACATGGAGGAAGACCAACACGGGGGAAAGCCAACATGGAGGAAGACCACCATGGGGAAGGCCAACATGGAGGAAGACCAACACGGGGGAAAGCCAACATGGAGGAAGACCAACATGGGGGAAAGCCAACATGGAGGAAGACCAACATGGGGGAAAGCCAACATGGAGGAAGACCAACATGGGGGAAAGCCAACATGGAGGAAGACCACCACAGGTAAAAGCCATCATGGAGGAAGGCCGACACGGGGGGAAAGCCAACATGTATGAAGACCAACACGGGGGACAGCCAGCATGGAGGAAGACCAACAAGGGGAAATCCAACATGGAGGAAGACCAACATGGGGGACAGCCAACATGGAGGAAGACCAACAAGGGGGAAAGCCAACATGGAGGAAGACCAACATGGGGGACAGCCAACATGGAGGAAGACCAACAAGGGGGAAAGCCAACATGAATGAAGACCAACACGGGGGACAGCCAGCATGGAGGAAGACCAACAAGGGGGACAGCCAACTTGGAGGAAGACCAACACGGGGGACAGCCAACATTGAGGAAGACCAACACGGGGGACAGCCAACATGGAGGAAGACCAACATGGGGGACAGCCAACATGGAGGAAGACCAACACGGGGGAAAGCCAACATGGAGGAAGACCAACATTGAGGGAGACCAACATGGGGGAAAGCCAAAAAGATAAATAAAACTCTTAGTAGAAGCAATCTTACCATGGACTTTACTCTTTGTATATCCCAAAATGAAACATACAAAATAATGGGCGCCAGGCCTTCCAATCTGACATGTTAATTAGTGTACTGTGCGAAATTGGAACACATCCCTGCGGTGAGGGTGATTTGTTATTGCTTGTCTGAACTCTAGGTAATAAAACGTGGGCTAGCAGACATGTTATTTGTTTGCTAGGCCTGCGTCAAACGTAACTGGTCTGGATTAATCTTGTACTAAACAGCGACACTGGAACAAGTTCTGGTGAACTCGCAGGACACAGGGAAACTTGGTGTAAAGTTGTGCGTTGTGAACACAAGGATTTTTTATCGAAATGCCGAGCTATTGTTCAATCAAGCTAAGCGAAATACTGTTGCAATCACGTCCACCTGTATAATGTGTGCAAGACGCTGAAGATCACTTAATTTTGCGCGACGTGACTACTGCACATGACCAACGCCGTGATATAACTGAAATGTTGTTTAAAGCGGTATATAAATCATGTATGAAGCGAATGTGGTACGTGTTGATTCCCAAATGGAAAGGCGATGTTATTGTTTGCTTCAACTATAGATATTAATAAAACTTCGGCTAGCAGACATGCCTGCTTCAAACTAGACTTAAGTTCGACTCAGGACTAATCCAGTACAAAACAGTGGTCATTATTGTAGTACGGGTTAATTCACTGGACACAAGGAAACATTGATGCCACGTTGAAAAGACAATAATTTTGGTCTAAATGCCGAACTATTGCTCAATAGTGCCGAGCGAAATACTGTTGCAATGAAATGCACACGTCAAGTGATTTATCCGAAATGTTGCTAAAGCGCCGTTAAAATCAAGCCTGCAGAGATGGTGTTTCGTGTTGATTCCAGTTTGAACCACGAAGGTTACTCCAGACAGCGGTATGTACAGAACTAAAGAGTGACATCAGTAAACAACTACACAAGATGTAATACCAAGGATTAAGTTTACAACCATGAAAGGCGATACAGTGGCTCAAATATGTGACAACAGCAATAAACGGCCCTATTGCAAAAGCAGTTACCCTCACGAATCTAGCTCACTCACTCTGCATACAGAGGGGATAAAATGTCATATCCTAAAGTATAGTCTACAAATAAAATGCAACAACATCAAATTGAACCTATTTTTACTGTCGCACTATGTCTGATGCATGCTGAACTTCAAGCCGTCTTAAGATACACATGATAAAGTTTTTTACAGAAAGTAACATACAAAACGTATTACATTATAATACATTATAATACATTGTAAATAAACATAGGTACATGTACATTGCCAGTGCATGAGCAACGATAATTTGCGTGGTAAGATAAATGTGAAATTCATAAATCAGATCACAAATTGTGACAGTCCCTGTTGTCGAAAATAGCGATTCGCAGTTATGTTCGGTGTCTTGGATCTTTTCTATTCCAGAATCACCTTTGTGTGTGTAATGGACAATACTCACAACGAAAGTAACAACCCCCAATAGTGCCGACCGCCTCCGTGGTCTAGTGGTAGAGCTCCCGCCCGGAGAGCGGAAGGTCCAGGGTTCGATCCCGGGCCGCGTCATACAAAAAGACGTTAAAAGATTGTACTTGTTGTTACCCTGTCTGGCGCTCGGCATTAAGGGGCTAAAACAAGGACTGGTCGGCTCGGAGTCAGTATACTGTGTCTGAGTGGGGTAATCATGTTAAACTGCGGCATGGTATCTCAGTGAGCTAGCACTATAAATCGGCATCAGTCCGGACTAGTACAAGCAGCCACACAAACACACACACGTACATGCACGTCGCTATATAAGTGCAATAATCTTGGACGCGACGTTAAACCCAATTTCACCTCACCTAACCCAATAGTGCCGAGCGAAATACTGTTGCAATGAAATGCACACGTCAAGTGATTTATCCAAAATGTTGTTAAAAAGCGCCGTTAAAATCAAGCCTGCAGAGATGGTGTTTCGTGTTGATTCCAGATTGAACCACGAAGGTTACTCCAGACAGCGGTATGTATAATCATAAGACATATCTGCTAATGCACCCTTGATTATCTGAGAATTGTATCAGATACAGATTCTGCATATATAAGATAGCTACGCGATAAATCACAATGAACAATGACGAACGAAGCGTGGTTTATTTCACAACAAAACAGTGTTCTATCATGACGTCAGTTCTGGAGATTCAAACATGCGCTCGCAACTTGATGACGTCGTAATTGGACAATGTTATTTTTGAGAGGGAGGTGTCTTGTGAGTTGTTCCCCGTAGATGCAGCTAGGCAACGTAGATAAACACACCCCTCGTGGTTTATTCTCCCTGCATTGTTTTATTGTACGATAAACAACTCCCACTCGTCGTTCAATCAAATTAGTCACATGATCGAGATGAGGTGAGGTGAGGTGAAATGGGGTTTAACGCCGCGTCCAAGATTATTGCACTTATATAGCGACGTGCATGTACGTGTGTGTGTGTGTGTGTGTGTGTGTGTGGCTGCTTGTACTAGTCCGGACTGATGCCGATTTATAGTGCTAGCTCACTGAGATACCATGCCGCAGTTCAACATGAATACCCCACTCAGACTCCGAGCCGACCAGTCCTTGTTTTAGCCCCTTAATGCCGAGCGCCAGACAGGGTAACAACAAATACCATCTTGTAACGTCTTTTGGTATCACGCGGTCGGGGATCGAACCCCGGACCTTCCGCTCTCCGGGCGGACGCTCTACCACTAGACCACGGAGGCGGTCTCATGATCGAGATGGATTCCATACTTAGACATGTGTGTTGAATGGGTGGCGAATGAGTCGAGGGTATTTATCTTGATAGAATGCCCTGGATAATCGAGAAAGGTGTAAGTTATCATAAGGACATTTCATTTTAATAAACTATTTGCATGAAACAAGCGAAGGTAGAAACATATCAAGATCTGGTTGCAAAGTCCGAGTTGGGGTATAAAAAACTCTGTCTCTTCTATCAACTGAATGTCGTCATTCGCACCATTGCGTCTGGAAATACAGTCATTTGCTACTAATTGTCTCAGGAAACTGGTACAAAGCCCGTTTCGACACCTGAAAATATACAATGTTGATTTAGAGGTTTCATTCTAGACTGGTCCAAGGCGATCAATGTTAATTAAGTCGTTTTCGGTTCCCGGCGATATCCTCGTCACCTTGACTGTGGTCTGTGTACACAATGACGACAGTCGGCTACGATTATCTGTCGCCAATATTAATGAAGACAGGATTGACTGATAAACGTGAACTTCTTCCATTCTATCAAATAAATATAGCGACAAAA